CCCGCGGGGGTCCCGGGGGGCTCCGCAGCCCCCGCGGGGTTGGGGTCATGGGGAGGCGGGGAGGGAAGAAAGCGCCTTTGTCCGGGGGAGCCCGCGGGGGCCGCGCCGCTTTCTGATGCAAATGAACGCTAAAAATAAATCCCGGCCCCGCCGGGGCTGCTCCAGACCCAACAAAAGCCGCTTTTTTGGGGGCCCGAGGGGGCAGCGAGGGGGTCCCCGGGTCCCCGAGGGCTCCTCCGGGTGGTGGGAGCATCCCGGGGTTCCGCAGTGCCGGGAATGAATCGCCTCGAAGCTTCCTCGGGGCTGTGGGGAACCCAAATCAGCCTCGTTCCTCATCCTGGGACCCCAAATCGGCCTCGTTCCCCTTCCTGGGACCCCAAATCGGCCTCGTTTTCCATCCTGGGACCCCAAATCGGCCTCGTTCCCCATCCCAAGGTTCTGTGCCTCGTTTCTGGGGGCACCCAGAAATCCCCGAGGGGTTTTGGGGTGTCAGGAGCACCCTGGGGTCACCCAGAGCTTCCCCCAGATGTGTTTTGGGGTACTGGGAGCTCCCTGATCAGTTTTTGGGACATCCAGAGCTCCCCCTCAGGATTTTTTGGGGGCACTGGGAGCACCCTGATGGATTTTTGGGGATCCCAAAACTCACCCCAAACAAGTTTTTGGGCACTGGGAGACCTCAGATGGGTTTTGGGGTACCAGGGGCATTCAGGGGGGCACTGGGATCACCCTGGGGGGGCACTGGGAGCTCCCTGATGGATTTTTGGGGTATCCCCGTGAGGCATCCAGGGCTCTCCCTAATTTTTGGGGGGCACTGGGAGCTCCCTGATGGATTTTTGGGACACCCAGAGCTTCACCCCAAACATTTTTGGGCACTGGGAGATCCCTGTTGGATTTTGGGGCACCCAGAGCTCCCCGATGGATTTTGGGGGTGCCAGGATGCCCCCAAAAAAAGGGACAAAAATGATCTGGAGGGGCTGGGAAGGTTCTGAATCCACCACACAAAAAAAAACAACATCCAACAATTTCCAAGATTTTTATTTCAAACCCTTTCTCTCTTCCCTTCCCACCCTCCCCCTACAGCAGGAAAAAAAAAAACCAAAAAAAACCCCAAACAACCCCAAAAAAACCCCAAAAAACGATGCTAAAAATGAGTTTTACAAACACCAAGTCAGCTTTTCCTGGCTGACCCCGTAGGAAAAAAAACAAACAAAAAAAAACCCCAAAAACCCCAAAATCCAGGAATTCCAGCAGTTCCTAAAATCCCCCACGAGAGGCCAAACATGCCTATAAATACAATATTTACACACAAACCCCACAGCTCCCCACCCCAAAAAATAACCAAACACACCCAAAAGTGCATTTGTGGTTCATATCAAAAAAACATTATTAATATTATTATTATTATTAATTTTTTTTCCATTAAATCTGAAAGATTGGCCTGCAAAGTCCGTTTGGTTTTTTTTTTTATTATTATTATTATTATTATTACTATTATTCTTTTTTTTTTTTTTAACCATTTAGTAACTTTTCTCATATATTTATGAAAATAAATTATACAGCCACTATTCGAATAAATTAAGCACACACCAAAAACAAAATTAAAATTAAAATTAAAATTAAAATTAAAATTAAAATTGAGGGGAGGAATTAAAATTAAAAATAAAATGAAGCAAAAGCTGCGTCGGTGGTGTTTTGTTTTTTGTTAAATTCCAAAGGGTGATTCCCAAAATCCTGGCGAGGTCCTGCCCTGGGAGCTGCTGGAATCTGCTCGGGAAATTCCGGGAAATTCCTGGGGTTTGGGGGGAGGGCCTGGACTGGGAGCACTGGGAGAACCCCAGAGTGGAACTGGGAGCACTGGGAACATCCCAGGGTGGGATTTTGGGAATTTAAAGCACTGGGAGCTCGCCAGGATAGGATTTTAGGGCACTGTGAGAATCCCAGAGTGGGATTTTGGGGCACTGGAAGTTCTCCAGGATGGGATTTTGGGGCACTGGGAGCACTGGGAGAATTCCAGAGTGGGATTTTGGGGTACTGGAAGTTCTCCAGGGTGGGATTTTGGGGCACTGGGAGCACTGGGAGAACCCCAGGGTGGCACTGGGAGAATTCCAGAGTGGGATTTTGGGGCACTGGAAGTTCTCCAGGATGGGATTTTGGGAACTGGGAGCACTGGGAGCATCCCAGGGTGGCACTGGGAGCACTGGGAATGCCCCGGGGGGGCACTGGGAGCACTGGGAGAACCCCAGGGGGGCACTGGGAGCACTGGTTGTGTTTTACACCTGGAGGCAGCACTGCCGGGATCCCCCCAATCCCAAAGGATCTTTGGGAAGGGGATCCCCCTGATGGGACAGGGATGGGACACTGGGATGGGACACTGGGATGGGATGGGACACTGGGATGGGATGGGACACTGGGATGGGATACTGGGATGGGATGGGATACTGGGATGGGATGGGATACTGGGATGGGACACTGGGATGGGATACTGGGATGGGATACGGGGACTGGGATGGGATGGGACACTGGGATGGGATACTGGGATACTGGGATGGGATACTGGGATGGGATGGGACACTGGGATGGGATACGGGGATGGGATGGGATACTGGGATGGGATGGGATACTGGGATGGGACACTGGGATGGGACACTGGGATGGGATGGGACACTGGGATGGGACACTGGGATGGGATACTGGGATACTGGGATGGGATACTGGGATGGGATGGGATACTGGGATGGGATACTGGGATGGGATACAGGGATACTGGGATGGGACACTGGGATGGGATACTGGGATACTGGGATGGGACACTGGGATGGGACACTGGGAGCTCCTGGGACACTGGGATGGGACACTGGGACGGGAATGCAGGGATGGGGAGCTGCAGGAATTCTCCCCATTCCCATTCCCGATCAGGATTGTGCAGGATTTTCCCTTCCCACAAATCCCCCAGCTCCCATTCCCCGTTCTCCCCTAACTCCGCTTTTCCCTGATCCTTCCCAAACCTCTCCATCCCAGAACGGCGCGGGAAGGACGGAGCGGGAATTCCGCCACCACCACACCACACAGAGACTTCCAGGATTTCCAGGATTTTCCCTGGAGACAATCCCAGTTTCCCAATTCCCTGCATCCCATTATCCATCCCTGATCCATGCCTTTTTCCAGGATGTTTTTTTGGAGGGGGAGAAAAGCTGGCTCTGCCTCTCGGGAAGGTTTTCCCTCCCCCAGCCCCATGAGGTATTTCCGTGGATTTTGAAGCTCAGTTTCACCTGGAATTTTTTTAAGGATTTAAGGGAGGATTTGTAGCACCTTTCATGGCGAAGCAGCGGGATTTTCCCATTAAAATCCACGGGAATTCCAGGACAGGGATCATCCCCCGAGCTCCTGGCAGTTCCCAGGGCTCCAGGGAATCCTCAGATCCAGCAGGATGGAGCAAATTCCCTGGATCCAGAGCACTTGAAACACGGGAAGAGGCTCCTCCGGAATTCCCAGTCCTGCTGGAAGCTCCCCCATGGAATTCCCGCTCAGGGGGATGGAGCAGCAGATCCGAAGGGGGGAGGGTGGGAATTTGTGCCTAAAAACCGGGAAAGAGCCACAATTCTCCTGGATTTGCTGTTCCCAATGTCCCAAGGAGAGGGGGAAGCCGCTCCAGGAGAATCCTCGGCGCTCCGAAGGAAATCATTCCCAGCCTCCGGAATCCTCCAGGGACGGGCTGGGAGCGGCTCTGGAAGTTTGGGATCGCCGCAGGATCCAGCTCCAGCAATTCCAGCAGCAGATTTTCCACCTTCCCAGGGGAATCCTTCCCAGTGCTGGCTCCAGGAATGTTCCCTTTGGATCCACACCACGCTCTTCCTTCCTTTCTTCCACGGCTCCAGCTTTTCCCGGGATGCTCCTGCCAATCCTGAAGGGTTTGGATCTCTTTTCCCAAATCCTGGGGCAGCTGTGGAGCTGCTCGGAACTCCACACTTCATTTCTTCCCAAGGGTTATTCCCGGGGGTTATTCCCATGGGTTATTCCCAAGGGTTTTTCCCAGGGATTATTCCCAGGGGTTATTCCCAAGGGTTATTCCCATGGGTTATTCCCAGGGATTATTCCCAGGGGTTATTCCCATAGGTTATTCCCGAGGGTTATTCCCAGGGATTATTCCTGGGGCTATTCCCAGGGTTTATCCCCAAGGGTTATTCCCATGGGTTATTCCCAGGGATTATTCCCATGGGTTATTCCTGGGGTTATTCCCATGGGTTATTCCCGAGGGTTATTCCCATGGGTTATTCCCAGGGATTATTCCCATGGGTTATTCCCAGGGGTTATTCCCGTGGGTTATTCCCGAGGGTTATTCCCATGGGTTATTCCCAAGGGTTATTCCCAGGGGTTATTCCCGTGGGTTATTCCCGGGGTTATTCCCAGGGATTATTCCCATGGGTTATTCCTGGGGTTATTCCCATGGGTTATCCCCAAGGGTTATTCCCATGGGTTATTCCCAGGGGTTATTCCCAGGGGTTATTCCCAGGGATTATTCCCATGGGTTATTCCCATGGGTTATTCCCGTGGGTTATTCCCGTGGGTTATTCCCGTGGGTTATTCCCAAGGGTTTATCCCCAAGGGTTATTCCCATGGGTTATTCCCGTGGGTTATTCCCAAGGGTTATTCCCAGGGTTTATCCCCAAGGGTTATTCCCAGGGGTTATTCCCAGGGGTTATTCCCATGGGTTATTCCCGGGGTTTATTCCCGTGGGTTATTCCCGAGGGTTATTCCATCCCTCTGGCTCCGTTTGCAGCTCTCCAGTGAGGATCAAAGCCTTGCCACGACGCCTCAGAGCAGACGGATCTTCCCAGAGAATTCCCCCTTTTTTTTCTTTTCTCCCTCTCCCTCAACCTTGAAATTCCCAAGGCGGGATCAGAAAATCCAGCGGGATCAGAAAATCCAGCGGGATCAGTTTTTTTCCTCATGCTGAAAATCAGGGAAAAATCAAAAATTTAAAAAAAAAAAAAATCCAAAAATCCAGAGACATCCAAACGTAAAACTTCCAGGAAAAGTCGGGAATAGTGCCGTGACATTCTTTGTTCCGCGAGGATCCCGCGGGGCCGGGCTCGGTTCCCCCAGGATTCCTTTTCCCGGGAGCCGGGGCTCCGGATCCTGCTATGCTGGGTTTCCCGGGAATGCTGGGTTTCCCGGGAATGCTGGGCCCTCTCCTCCAGGGAAAAGAGCAGGAGCAGCAGCAGCAGGAGCTCGGCCTCCTCCCCAGCACGGCAGGAGGGCAACAACCAAATTCCTGCCAGGAAAAAACACCAGGAATCGGGATCAGACAGGATTGGGGCCTGGAGGAGAGCGGGAATGGGAATGAGGGAGGAGCAGGAGGGTTTCCTGAGGAAAGATGGGAATGGTAAAAGGGCGGGAATCCTGTTCCCTTTCCCAAGGAAAGTTGGGAATGGTAGAACATGAAATTTTGTTCTCCTCTCCAGGGAAAGTTTGGGAATGGTAAAAGGGCGGGAATCCTGTTCCCTTTCCCAAGGGAAGTTGGGAATGGTAGAACACGAAACCTTGTTCTCCTCTCCAGAGAAAGTTTGCGAATGGTAAAAGGGTGGGAATCCTGCTCCCATTCCCAAGGGAAAAAGACCAGGAAGCCTTGCTCTCCTTCCCAAGGAAAACTGGGAATGGTGGAACACCAGGAAATCCTGTTCCCCCTCCCATGGAAAACCGGGAATGGTACAAGGCCAAGCAATCCTGTTGTTCCCTTTCCTGAAGAAAAGCTGGGAATGATGGAAGAGCCCGGAGTGAGCAGCCATGGCTCCTCCAGGGGGAACAGCAGGACAGGGGGTTGATCCTGGGATGAGGCACCATTCCCGACCATCCCCGACCATTCCAAACCATTCCCAGATCATTCCTGACCATCCCAGGCCATTCCAGACCATTCCCAGACCATCCTGGACCATTCCAAACCATTCCCAACCATCCCCAACCCATCCCAAACCCATCCCAGACCACTCCAGACCATTCCTGACCATCCCACACCATTCCCAACCATTCCTGACCATTCCCAAACATTCCCACATCATTCCCGCCCATTGCCAACCATTCCTGACCATTCCCACACCATTCCCACCCATTGCCAACCATTCCCAGACCATTCCCAACCATTCCCACACCATTCCCACACCATTCCCAACCATTCCACACCATTCCAAACCATTCCCACACCATTCCCAACCATTCCCAACCATTCCCACACCATTCCCAACCATTCCCAACCATTCCCACACCATTCCCACCCATTCCACACCATTCCCACACCATTCCCACACCATTCCCAACCATTCCCACACCATTCCCACGCCATTCCCTACCATTCCCACATCATTCCCACCCATTCCCAGACCATCCCGCACCATTCCTGCCCATTCCTGCACCATTCCCGAGCATTCCTGCCTATTCCCAGACCATTCCCACCCATTCCCACCCATTCCCGCACCGTCAGTGCCGGGGCGGCTCCGCTACGTGGAGGATTCCGGCTCCTGCCTGTGTCGGGAGATGAGCTGGGCCTCCTTGAGGGACAGGTACTGCTCCTCCTGTGGGTCGTAGTAGTAGAACTTGCGGATGTAGGAGATCAGGGGCCTGGAAAAACACCGGGAAGAGCCGGATCCCTGAGCCAACATTCCCAGAGCACAACCAGAGCTTCTTCCATGGAAAATCATCGGGATGAGACAGATCCCTGAGCCACAGCTCCACAGAAATTCCCAAAACACAACCAGAGCTTCTTCCATAGAAAAACACCGGGAAGAGCCGGATCCCTGAGCCACAGTTCCACTGAAATTCCCAAAATATAACCAGAGCTTCTTCCATGGAAAAACACCGGGAAGAGCTGGAGCCAACACCCCTCCAACATTCCCAAAATACAACCAGAGTTTCTTCCATGGAAAAGCATCGGGAAGAGCCGGATCCCTGAGCCACAGCTCCACTGAAATTCTCAAAATATAACCAGAGCTTCTTCCATGGAAAATCATCGGGAAGAGCCGGATCCCTGAGCCACAGCTCCACTGAAATTCCCAAAATACAACCAGAGTTTCTTCCATGGAAAATCATTGGGAAGAGCTGGATCTCTGAGCCAACATTCCCAGAGCACAATCAGAGCTTCTTCCATGGAAAATCATCGGGATGAGACAGATCCCTGAGCCACAGCTCCACAGAAATTCCCAAAACACAACCAGAGCTTCTTCCATGGAAAAACACCGGGAAGAGCTGGAGCCAACACCCCTCCAACATTCCCAAAATACAACCAGAGCTTCTTCCATAGAAAATCATCGGGAAGAGCCGGATACCTGAGCCACAGTTCCACTGAAATTCCCAAAATATAACCAGAGCTTCTTCCATGGAAAAACACCGGGAAGAGCCGGATCCCTGAGCCAACATTCCCAGAGAACAACCAGAGCTTCTTCCATGGAAAAACACCGGGAAGAGCCGGATCCCTGAGCCACAGCTCCATTGAAATTCCCAAAACACAACCAGAGCTTCTTCCATGGAAAAACACTGGGAAGAGCCGGATCCCTGAGCCAACATTCCCAGAGAACAACCGGAGCTTCTTCCATGGAAAAACACCGGGAAGAGCCGGATCCCTGAGCCACAGCTCCACAGAAATTCCCAAAACACAACCAGAGCTTCTTCCATGGAAAAACACCGGGAAGAGCTGGAGCCAACACCCCTCCAACATTCCCAAAATACAACCAGAGCTTCTTCCATAGAAAATCATTGGGAAGAGCCGGATACCTGAGCCACAGCTCCACTGAAATTCTCAAAATATAACCAGAGCTTCTTCCATGGAAAATCATCGGGATGAGACAGATCCCTGAGCCACAGCTCCATTGAAATTCCCAAAATATAACCAGAGCTTCTTCCATGGAAAATCATCGGGAAGAGCCGGATCCCTGAGCCATGGCCCCTCCATATTCCCAACCCTTCCAGCACCTCCACAGGAATTTCGGAGCTGCTTCCCAAAGCTCCAGCACAGCAGGGAACTCCTCATTCCCAAACCCCCTCAGAATTCCCACCGCATCCCTAAACCCCACGGAACGTCAATCCCGCTATCCCCAAAGCCGGGAAAGTCAATCGTTCCCTCCCAGATTCCCAGGGAGGGAATTCCATGGATTCATCCGCGAGGGAATGGCGGGACTCACTTGGGCAGTGGGAGCTCGGGAATGTGGTCGATCCGGACCAGCTGCCGGATGCGGAAGCGGCAAAGGTGCTGCAGGGATTTGACGTTGCTGAACCTGGAGACGGGATACAGGAGCTGGACGGGCGTCGGAGGGAGACCTTGGAATTTTTTTGGGGAAAAAAGGAGATTTTGGAGATCAGGATTAGGCTGGAAAAAAAGCGGGAAACGTTGGAGGGTTGCGTCGGAAAGGAAGCGCTGCCGATTCCGAAGGGAAAGGGAATGAGGAGATTTAATTAAGGCCGGGATCCATCAGGAACGATGGAATTCTTGATTGTGGGATGGAATTCCATGGAATTGTGGAATGGGTTGGGAGGGGCTGCAAAGCTCAGCCGGTCCCACCCCACGATTTCCAGTCCCGGATGGCTCCAAGCTGGCTGAGTCCAAGGAATTTTGGGAATTATTTTCCCGTTTTTCCAGGGGTACACACACAGGGAAACGAGCTCTGGGATGGGAAATTCCCCCCTGGCTTGCAGGGACGGCCCAAAATCACGGAAAACTCGGATTCTTGGGGCAGAGCAGCAGCTGATCCCAGAAAAAAATGAACCATTCCCAGGTTTACCTGGAACCCTGGAAAATCCCATTCTCGGGTTTACCTGGGACTCTGGAAAATTCAATTCCCATTCCTAGGCTCACCTGGCACCCTGGGAAATCCCATCCAGGTTCACCTGGACCACAGGAAAATCTCATTCCCTAAAACCCTGGGAATTGCTATCCAGGCTCAGCCGGAACCTTGGAAAATCCCATTCTCTGGGACCTTGAAAAATCCCATTCCAAGGCTCACGTGGAACCCTGGAAAATCCCATTCTCTGGAACCTTGAAAAATCCCATTCCAAGGCTCACGTGGAACTCTGGAAAATCCCATTCCCAGGCTCATGTGGAACCCTGGAAAATCCCATTCTCTGGGACCTTGAAAAATCCCATTCCAAGGCTCATGTGGAACCCTGGAAAATCCCATTCCCATTCCCAGGCTCACCTGGAACCCTGGAAAATCCCATTCCCAGGCTCACCTGGCACGCGGGAGCGCAGGAAGTAGAGGAATTTCCCGTTCTTGGAATGCATGATCGCCCGCTTGATGAACTCCACCACGGACTGGCAGCGATCCTCGAACTTGGGGTGGCACCACAGGCTGAAGGTCCCTGCCAGGGACAGCATTCCCGTTATCCCAGGGATTTTTGGGAAAACACGGGAATTTTTCCCGTTATCCCAGGGATTTTTGGGAAAACACGGGAATTATTCCCGTTATCCCAGGGATTTTTGGGAAAACGTGGGATTATTCCCATTATCCCAGGGAGTTTTTGGCACAGCATTAATGAATCCATGAAATATTCTGCTGCTGAACCAATTAAATATTATATATTTTATATCTTTTAATTGTATATTTACATATATTTTATAGCTATTATATATATTATTTATATTAGATATATGTATTATATATTACATATTTTGATTTATTTATTATATATTATAAATATTATATATGTTATATATACTGTGCTATATATAGTATACATTATATAATTATATAATATTTTATATTAAAATATAAATATAAATATAAATATAAATAGTATAAATATAAATATAAATATAAATATAAATATAAATATAAATATAAATATAAATATAAATATAAATATAAATATAAATATGAATAGAATATTATATAATTATATATTATAGATATTATAAATATTCCCCCACCTCCCGGATCCAGGAATGCCATCCTGGATTCCCTCCTCCTGGATCCAGGAATGCCATCCCGGATTCCCTCACCTTGGATTCAGGAATGGCATCCTGGGTTCCCTCCTCCTGGATCCAGGAATGGCATCCCGGATTCCCTCACCTTGGATTCAGGAATGCCATCCAAGATCTGGGAATGCCATCTCGGATTCCCTCACCTCCCAGATCCAGGAATGCCATCCCGGGTTCCCTCACCCTGGATCCGGGAATGCCTTCCCGGATTCCCTCACCTTGGATCCAGGAATGGCATCCAAGATCTGGGAATGCCATCTCAGATTCCCTCCTCCTGGATCCAGGAATGCCATCCCAGATTCCCTCACCCTGGATTCAGGAATGCCATCCCGGATTCCCTCCTCCCGGATCCAGGAATGCCATCCCAGATTCCCTCACCCTGGATTCAGGAATGCCATCCCAGATTCCCTCACCCTGGATTCAGGAATGCCATCCCGTGTTCCCTCACCCTGGATCCGGGAATGGCATCCCACATCCAGGAATGCCATCCCAGATTCCCTCCTCCTGGATTTGGGAATGCCATCCCGGATTCCCTCACCTCTGATCCAGGAATGCCTTCCCGGATTTCCTCACCTTGGATCCAGGAATGGCATCCAAGATCTGGGAATGCCATCTCGGATTCCCTCCTCCCGGATCCAGGAATGCCATCCCAGATTCCCTCACCCTGGATTCAGGAATGCCATCCCGTATTCCCTCACCCTGGATCCAGGAATGCCATCCCGATTCCCTCACCCTGGATTCAGGAATGCCATCCCAGATTCCATCCTCCCGGATTTGGGAATGCCATCCCGTGTTCCCTCACCTCTGATCCGGGAATGCCATCCCAGATCCAGGAATGCCATCCCGGCTCCGGGAATGCCATCCCGTGTTCCCTCACCTCTGATCCGGGAATGCCATCCCGGCTCCGGGAATGCCACCCCGTGTTCCTCACCTCGGTAGTGCTCCATGCGGGTGTGGTGGGTGATGCCCTGCGAGCGGAAGCTCAGGCTCAGGATGTAGCGCGGGTCGGAGCTGTCGCGCACCAGGAAGGATCCGTCGGGTTTTCCCTTCAGCTTCATCTCCGCGTCCTCCCAGTTCATGGGGCCCCAGTACCAGCCGCACTGGGAACAGGGAGAGGCAGCTGGGAACGGCGGGTCCCCAGGGAATTCCCTTGGGAATGGGCGATTCCCGAGGGAACAGCGATTTCCTTGGCGATTCCCTTGGGAATGGGCGATTCACTTGGGAATTCCCTTGGGAATTCCCGTGGAGAATCCAAGAAGGGCAGGATTCCCAAATCCCAATCCTGGAGGGGCCAGATTCCCAAATCCTGAGGGGCCAGATTCCCAAATCCTGAGGAGCCAGATTCCCAAATCCTGAGGGGCCAGATTCCCAAATCCCAAACCCTGAGGAGCCAGATTCCCAAATCCCAAGGGACCAGATTCCCAAACCCAAAGCCCTGAGGGACCAGATTCCCAAATCCCAAACCCTGAGGAGCCAGATTCCCAAATCCCAAGGGACCAGATTCCCAAATCCAAAGCCCTGAGGGACCAGATTCCCAAACCCTGAGGTGCCAGATTCCCAAATCCTAATCCTGGAAGGGCCGGATTCCCAAATCCAAAGCCCTGAGGGGCCGGATTCCCGAATCCCAACCCCGGATTCCCGGATTTTCCCGCCCGGATGCCGGTACCTTCTCCAGCTCCCGGAGGCTGGCGGCGAAGCTGCTGGGGTCGGGCCGGGCCAGGGGACACTGCAGGTGGGGAGGGGGCGGCTGGCCCGGGGCCTCCGGGGGCCGCAGGGGCACGATCCGGGGAAAGGCATCTGTGGGGACACATGGGGACACCGTCACAGTCACCCAGAGTGACACGGGGACACCGTCAGGGACACACGGGGACACCGTCACTGTCACCCAGAGACACAGGGACACAGTCAGGGACAGCCAGGGACACCACCACTGTCACCTAGAGTGACACGGGGACACCGTCACTGTCACCCAGAGACACAGGGACATGGTCAGGGACAGCTAGGGACACTGAAAGGGACAGAGACACACGGGGACACCATCACTGTCACCCAGAGACACATGGGGACACCATCAGGGATACACAGGGACACCACCACTGTCACCTAGAGTGACACGGGGACACCGTCACTGTCACCCACAGACACAGGGACACCGTCACTGTCACACAGAGTGACACGGGGACACCGTCACTGTCACCCACAGACACAGGGACACCGTCACTGTCACCCAGAGTGACACGGGGACACCGTCACTGTCACCCAGAGTGACACGGGGACACCGTCAGGGACACACAGGGACACCATCACTGTCACCCAGAGACACAGGGACACTGTCATTGTCACCCAGAGACACAGGGACACAGTCAGGGACAGCCAGGGACACCACCACTGTCACCTAGAGTGACACGGGGACACCGTCACTGTCACCCACAGACACGGGGACACCGTCACTGTCACCCAGAGTGACACGGGGACACCGTCAGAGATACACAGGGACACCGTCACTGTCACCCAGAGTGACACGGGGACACCGTCACTGTCACCCAGAGTGACACGGGGACACCGTCAGGGACACAGGGGGACACCGTCACTGTCACACAGAGACACAGGGACACCGTCACTGTCACCCAGAGACACGCGGGGACACCATCAGGGACACACAGGGACACTGTCACTGTCACCCAGAGACACAGGGACACAGTCAGGGACAGCCAGGGACACCACCACTGTCACCTAGAGTGACACGGGGACACCGTCACTGTCACCCAGAGACACAGGGACATGGTCAGGGACAGCTAGGGACACTGAAAGGGACAGAGACACACGGGGACACCATCACTGTCACCCAGAGACACATGGGGACACCATCAGGGATACACAGGGACACCACCACTGTCACCCAGAGTGACACGGGGACACCGTCACTGTCACCCAGAGTGACACGGGGACACCGTCAGGGACACATGGGGACACCGTCAGGGACGCACGGGGACAGTGTCACTGTCACCCAGACAAACACAGGGACACCGTCACTGTCACCCAGAGACACAGGGACATGGTCAGGGACAGCCAGGGACACTGAAAGGGACAGGGACACACGGGGACACCATCACTGTCACCCAGAGAGAGACAGGGTCACTGTCACTGTCACCCAGACACAGCCCAGGGTCACTGTCACTGTCACCCAGGGTCACTGTCACCCCCAGGCCGGCCCCTCAGGAAGGAGGGGGACACGGGGTGACCCATGGGGGGACAATTCCTGCCAGGGGACACTCTGGGAAGTGACACCTGGCTCCAGCACCTCCAACTCCTCCTTCCTGTTGGAGGGAATCCCAGAAAAGGGACAGGAATCCTGGGAAAAGGGACAGGAATCCCGGGAGAAGGGACAGGAATCCTGGGAAAAGGGACAGGAATCCGGGAAAAGGGACAGGAATCCCAGGAAAAGGGACAGGAATCCCAGGAAAAGGGACAGGAATCCCGGGAAAAGGGACAGGAATCCGGGAAAAGGGACAGGAATCCCGGGAAAAGGGACAGGAATCCTGGGAAAAGGGACAGGAATCCCAGGAGAAGGGACAGGCAAAGCTCTGTGGAGCTGGAGGAGCGCAAAGCAGAAGGGGAACGCACAGGAAAGTTCTGGGGGAAGGATGGAATGTGCCTGGAATTCTGCTCTTCCCTGCCCTCCTTGTCAGGATGGGATAAACCCCGGAGGAACCGGGAAAAAACCGAGGAAAAACTCCAATTTCCCGAGGGAAAGCGGAGCCGGGACCTCCAGGAGCACGGGGAAAACCTCAGAGCAGAGCAGGGAAAAAAAAACAAACCACCAAAACCACACACCCCCTTTCACCCCCCCCAAAAAAAAATAAAAATAAAATTTAAAAATTTGGGGATTCCAGGAGGATTCCAGGAGGATTCCAGGAGGATTCCAGGAGGGAAAAGGCAGAGCTGGAAAAGCTGACCTGGGGCGTGGGGCGGAGGAGGAGGAGGCAGAGGGAAGGATTGCAGGGAAGAGCCCATCGGACCCACAAGCACAGCCGGAGGCAGCGTCCCACTGATATCATCTAGGAGAGAGCACAGCGTCAGAAAACAGGGAAAGAAGAGCCCGGAAAACAGGGAAAACAGCCCGGGAAAGTGGGAATGTGGAGGATGTGGGGATTCCCACGCCCCTTTGGGTGTTGGTGAAGGAGAGGGATGGGTTTTCCGGCTCTGGAGAGGGAATTTCGGGGATTTCAGGAGATGGGGTGTGCTCCTGGTTTTATCCTGTTCCTGCTCAGGGGAGCATCCCAGGCTGGATCCTGCTGGAGCAGCCTCGATTTTCCGGGAACAGGGAAAGGATCCGGCCACAGTGGGAGATGGAAAAGTCTCCAAAGGAGCAGGAATGGGAAAAAAGCAGGGGAAAGACCCAAAAACAGCAGGAATGGGAAAAAAGCAGGGGAAAGACCCAAAATCAGCAGGAATGGGAAAAAAGCAGGGGAAAGACCCAAAATCAGAAGGAATGGGAAAAAAGCAGGGGAAAGACCCAAAAAACAGGAGGAAAGTTCCCCCAAAAGCAGCAAGGATGGGAAAAAAAGCAGGGGGAAATTCCCAAGGGTTCCAAGGACAATTCCTGGGGTTCCAAGGACAATTCCCAAGTTCCAAGGACAATGCCAAGTTCCAAGGACAATTCCTGGGGTTCCAAGGACAATGCCAAGTTCCAAGGACAATCCCCAGGTTCCAAGGACAATTCCCAGGTTCCCAAGGACAATTCCCAGGTTCCAAGGACAATTCCTGGGGTTCCAAGCACAATCCCAAGTTCCAAGGACAATTCCTGGGGTTCCAAGGACAATTCCCAGGTTCCCAAGGACAATTCCCAAGTTCCAAGGACAATTCCCAGGTTCCCAAGCACAATCCCCAGGTTCCCAATGACATTCCCCAGCGTTCCAAGGACAATTCCCAGTTTCCCAAGGACAATTCCCAGGTTCCAAGGACAATTCCCAGGTTCCCAAGCACAATTCCCAAGTTCCAAGCACAATCCCCAGGTTCCAAGGACAATTCCCAGGTTCCCAAGGACAATCCCCAGGGTTCCAAGGACAATTCCTGGGGTTCCAAGGACAATTCCCAGGTTCCCAAGCACAATTCCCAGGTTCCCAAGCACAATTCCCAGTTTCCCAAGGACAATCCCCAGGTTCCAAGGACAATTCCCAGGTTCCCAAGCACAATTCCCAAGTTCCCAAGCACAATTCCCAGGTTCCAAGGACAATCCCAGGGGTTCCAAGGACAATTCCCAGGTTCCCAAGGACATTCCGCGGTTCCAAGGACCATTCCCAGTTTCCCAAGGACATTCCCAGTTTCCCAGGACATTCCCAGGCAGTACCGAGCAGGCTGAGGCTCCGGCGCGGCGGCGGCGGCGGCGTGGGAGGGTGAGGGGAGCTGAGTCCTCGCTGGGAAATGTCCACATCCACCAGTGACACCGTCTCACCTGGAAAAGGAGATGGAAATTCCGGCTGGAGCCGGGATCAGCCACTCCCCATCCCCGGGGTGAGGAAAAAAGCAGGAATTCCGCAGGGATTGGGAGGTTTTGGTGCTTCCAAATCCAATTTTTCCGTCTTTGGAGAGGCCTCAATCCCTGCCCAAAGCTCAGGGTGAGGGAATTTGCCCCAAGGTCAGAGCCTGGATGGGATGAGGGATTTTTTCCAGCATGGAATTCCCACATCCAGCGGAGCTGATCCATGTGTGGATGTGATCCCGCTCTAAAAGCTACAAAAAATCCCCTTAAAAATGTGGGATTTTCAAATTAATAAATTATATATTAAAATAATATGTATTTTATTTTTTATATATTTACATTTTTATATTATATAGAAATAAAATATGTATATAATATATGGTTTATGTATTATATATTATATTATATAATATATATAAAAATACAAATATATAAGTATGGATTTTTATTGATTTCTATTTTATATTATCTCTAGATATAAATATATAAATTTATGTTACATCATATTATATTATTATATTTATATTATATTAAATAATAATTTTATTATATTTATTTTATATTATATTATATTGTATTATTATATCTACATTATATTCATATTATGAAATTATATATAAATATATATTATAAATATATATAATATATATTTTTATATATAAAATATAAAATAATATCATATAATAGTATACTATATTAGATTATATTATATTACCTTATATTATATTACATTATATTATATTATATTATATTATATTATATTATATTATATTATATTATATTATATTATATTATATTATATTTGTATTATATTATTATATTTATATTATATTATTATATTTATATTATATTATAATATATTATAATTTTATTATATTTATTTTATATTTATATTCTATTCTATTATAATTACATTTATATATAATCCACAGCAGAACAAACCCCAGAGTTTCACCAGTCCCCCCCCAAATCCTCACCTGTGAAGAGGGGGCTGAACACAACCGGGGAAAAGGCACTTTGGGTTCTTGTCAGTCTGTGTTTCCTGCGGGGGAACGAAGGGCAACGGCGTCAGGAGGGGTGAGGAGACTGAATCCCACCAGGAGGAAATACAGGAGAACCTTCTCCCACCACCAGAACCTTCTCCTGCCACGAGAACCTTCTCAATCGGGAGAACCTCCTCCAAGCAGAACCTTCTCCCACCAGGAGAAGCTTCTCCAGTCACGAGATCCTTCTCCAACCAGGAGAACCTTCTCCTGCCACGAGAACCTTCTCAAGCCATGAGAACCTTCTCCAAGGAGAACCTTCTCCCACCAGGAGAACCTTCAAGACACGAGATCCTTCAAGACAGGAGATCCTTCTCCAACCAGGAGAACATCTTCCTGTCATGAGAACCTTCTCCAGACAGGAGAACCTTTTCCAGTCATGAGGACCTTCTCCTACTGGGAGAACCTTCTCCAACCAGGAGAACCTTCAAGACAGGAGAACCTTCTCCAACCAGGAGAACCTTCTCCCACAAGGAGAACCTTCTCCCACCAGGAGAACCTTCAAGACAGGAGAACCTTCTCCAACCAGAGAACTTTCTCCAGCCACGAGAACCTTCTCCAACCAGGAGATCTTTCTCCCACCAGGAGAGCCTTCTCCTGCCACGAGAACCTTCTCAAGCCCCAAGAACCTTCCTCCCGCCACGAGAACCTTCAAGACAGGAAAACTTTCTCCCACCAGGAGAACCTTCTCTAGCCACAAGAATCTTCTCCCACCAGGAGAACCTTCTCCAAGCGGGAGAACCTTCTCAAGCCCCAAGAACCTTCTCCATCCACAAGAACCTTATCCAGACCACAAGAACCTTCTCCATCCTTCCCAGGACCTCCATCATCCACACGTTTTTCCATCTCCTAATTAGGACAGGGATCCCAAAATCCACCAAAAAACCTTTTCCATCCTCCCCTGAGGGATCCCAGGGGTGCCAAAAATCCACGGAGCGGCCTTGAGGTGTGACCTGGTGCATCTCACGCAGGTTTGGGCTCTGAGATGACACAGGAACACCTCAAAAATTGACACCAGCAAGAAATAATGACAAATTTGGGTCCCCTTCTGTGCCCAACCTTGTCCTCTGCCCCGGAACCTCCTCTGAAGCACAAATTTCTCCCAAAAAGGAGCGGTTTTAGGAAAAAAAGTTGGATTTGTGGTGACCACCAGACCCATGGAGACCACCAGATCCTTAGTGACTAGCAGATCCTTGGACTCATGAAGACCACCAGATCCATGGTGACCACCAGACACATGGATTTGTGGGGACCACCAGATCTACAGATCCTTGGTGACCACCAGACTCCTGGACTCACGGGGACCACAAGATCCATGGTGAGCACCAGATCCATGGTGACCACCAGACCCATGGACTCATGGTGACCACAAGATCCATGGATTCACGGGGACCACCAGACCCATGGTGACCACCAGACCCTTGGAGACCACCAGGTCCATCCCATACCCATGGGGGCCACAGGTCAGGAGGCAACGACTTCCAGCTCCCAGCAGAACCAAGGAAAAGTCCTGGCTCATCATCACCATCATCATCATCATCACCATCATCATCATCACCATCCCACCAGGACACGAGCAAGAAGGACCATTAATGACCCATCCCTCAACGCCAGGACGGGATTCCCGGAACCAGAGGCACAGAGTTCTGTCTGACCCACAGGAGCTGCTGCATTGGACACCTTGAGGTAACCTTCATTAAAAAAAGCCTAATTAGTGCGAGGAACTGCACGAGAACTGACCATCAAAGTGACCACCAAAGTGACCACCAGAGCAGAGGAGACCAGGCAGCGATTCCCAGGTGTTTCCCTGCTCCCAGCACCGCTGGAATAATCCCGATCCCAAAGCTTTCTGTCGTTCCAGGCACTTGGCTTGGGGCTGTTGGAGTCGTCTGTGGCCCAGGAGCCGCCGTCCGAGGCTCCTCAGGAGCTCCAGAGAGGCCTCAGCACCTGCCCACCTGCGGGGCTGGGGCTCCCCACCCTCCCCTGCTTCATTTCGGGGTCATTTTGGCCTCCTCGGGCTCTGAAGGGCGCTGTCCCCGCACACCGGGGCTGCAGGTCACGCCTGACCCCGGGTCAGCAGCTCCAGCCTGGAGAAAAACTTCCTGCTCATCCATCAGGAGGAGGAACCACAGCCCAAAATCCCTGCGGAGGGTGAAGGAACCCCAAATTTGTGACCCCAAATCCATCCTTTATTCCCTGCTGCATGGACCTGGGTCTTCTCCTGGAGAAATCTCAGCTCTGCAGCCGGGAATGTCATGGAAAAGCGATTCCAGGAGCCTGGGAAGCAGCGACAGAACAGCCCTGGACTGACCACAGCTGGGACCGAGCGGCAGGAGGTGATGGAGCAGGGATGAGGGACAGCAGGGACATGGGGGACACCAAGAGATCCCGGGGATTGTCCCCCCCATCCGAGCAATGATCCCTGCGGGAGATCTGAGCACCCACAGCACCAGAGCCTCGGGAAATCGCCCCTCAGCGCACGGGAGGTGACAGAATGCCAGTCCCTTGGGGACAGAGGTGTCACCAGAGGGGACACAGGTGTCACCAGAGGGGACAGCGCTGCCCCAGCAGCACCCACGACCATCAGCCGTGGAATCACAGAACCTGGAAAAACCCTCTGAGATCAGCCAGTCCAACCTCCCCCAGAACCCCACCGCGTCCCCGAGTGCCACATCCGCACGTTCGCTGGACAATTCCGGGGATGGCGATTCCATGGGCAGCCGGTGCCGGTGCCTGAGCGCATTCCCCACCAACAAATCTCTCCCAAAATCCAACCTGAACCCCCCCTGGGCACAGCTTGAGTCACCGCATCCCTCGTTCCCTGGATGGAGCAGAGCCCGAGCCTCACCTGGCCGCACCTTCCTGGCAGGAATTTGTGGAGCAAAAAGATCCCCCCGGAGCCTCCTCCTCCCCAGGCTGAGCCCCCCCAGCCGCTCCTGCCGGGACTGATGCTCCAAGCCCCGCTCCCGCTGCTGCTCCCAGAGGATTTTCCGCCATCCCCGCCAGGGATGCAGGCCTGGATCAGCGCGACCCCGCTCCGCCAGCCTCTCCCGGTCACCAGCGTCCCCGTGTGAGCCACGAGGCCTCGCCAAAGCGAGAGGTTTGATCGCCGCACGGGATGGCCCCGGTGCCATCCCCGCTGCCATCCCCGGTGTCACCCCCGGTGCCATCCCCGGTACCATCCCCGGTGCCATCCCCGGTACCATCCCCGCTGCCACCCCCGGTGCCACCCCCAGTGCCATCCCCGGTGCCATCCCTGGTACCATCCCCGGTGCCA